AATGTTAAACAAAATTGATATTAATTCTATTATTTTACATTAATTCCGATTATAACATCGTAAAATCACATCCTAAATTTTCTATTAATTACCACAGAAATCAGCATAGCAGACAATTTTATTGTAGTACAAAGTACAAATTAGGTAATTGTGGCTCGAGTTTAGTGGGACAAGTACCAAATTTGATTATTGTGGCTCAAGGTCAATATGTTCGAGTGATGTAACCGTAAATACGTGTAATTGCCTGCCGTTAATATCTATCGCAAATTGTATTGATATATTAGACGATATCTCGTCTGAAGCAAACAATCGCTGCTTTGCAACTTACAGTAACAATCCGCACAGAAGAGTGCGTTGATATTGACTACCTTTAGGGAAATGTTGTCAGGTAGCTTGCATAACCAATAATTTGACTTTCGAGCATCAATACCAAGCGATGAAATACTATTAATAATCCAATGACCAACTAGCATACGTTCATATACTTATTATTTATTATAATTAACGATGTAATAAATACACTTTGTCATCAATGATGATTAGACCTTCATGAACTTATCTATTGCTATATTGTAAGCTTCATCAACCATATACAATGCACTCTTATCCTTTTCTAATTGCGTAAGAATAACATCTGAGGACAGATCCTTAGTTTCTGTATCTTCAGTCTAACAGCATACAATCTTTCATCCTACGCTCTTCTTGTCGGGATTTGATATGAATGTAAATTTAGTACATTCAATCTTGCATCCATTCATTGAATCATCATGGTAAAAATGCTCGCTGAAAGTTACTGTCATAACTCTAATGTACTTCTCGTCTAAATATTTAGAAATAATGAGTGGATCAATTAGTGCGTGATTGTGAACTGACACACCATTCGGTCCATAGATCAGAATGGCATCAGTCTCAATCGAGTTTAATATCAGAGTCGTCATGTGTGATACCGTCGAAGTTGAGCAAGTATCTGGTGTCCGTTTGGCATGAATATTGTGGTAGTCATCAATATTGAGTATCATTGCCTTCCTAATGTTCCTATTAAGATAAGTATTGATTAGATCATCATATAATTCTGCAAGGTCAGCTTTCTTCCTATCCATATGACAAGCAGTGATAGTAATTCCAGCAGTTGCAAATGCATTAATTGCCTCATAGGACGTTCCCATGGAATTTAAAAATATTGATGCATCTGTCTTAAAAATGCAGTTAATTTTGAATTACGATTACCACATATAAAATAACACTCAAGGGCTAATCGCTTATCTAACTTCTCTAAATATTCTCTGTTCTTTTCGAGTAGATTTGCAGCATTATAGATAGAATCCAAAAAGGTACTTAGCCGATGATCTTTGTTTTCATTTCGTTTCGCAATTCTTGGAAGCTATAAATCGTTGGCTGTTTTTGCTTCTTTCTCTATCGTAAAGCAAATTTGTCAGTATGGCAACACCATCTACCCATGTAAACTCTCCACTCGCCAATTGTTCATCCCACAGATTCCAAAGTTGTATAGTATTAATATGTATCAGTTTTAGTTCGTTTATATTTGCTCAATATAATCTGAAAAAGTTTAAATTGTTTTTAGGTTGGTGTTCAATGATAACAAAAAAAATGTGTATCAAATATTGGCAAGAAAAACGTAAAGAACCACAATTCTAATATTGGTTAACAGATAGAGGTAACTTCAGTAATATATCTATATAAAAATGGAATTGCCTTCATTTTGGATAGGTAGTAATCGGGTATATAAAATGGAAGAATACTTCATCTTACATGGTAAGTGATCAGGTAAAGATAGTTGACGGCATCAAAAATGTATTGAGTTTTAACAAGAAAATCGTTAAAAAATTAGCATCCAGTATAAGGGCAACAGGTGAAGGTAACTTCAGAAATATTATATAATAAAAATGGAAGAAGCCTTCACTTTTTGATGACATGTTTTCGGATGGTGTAATCTTCAGAAATATTATATATATAATATGGAAGAACACTACACTTTTGATGACATGTTTCCGGGTATGTTTCCGGGTATGTGATCAGGGTAGGTAACTTTGGTAATATTATATAATAAATATGGGAGAGACCTACCCATTTAACGATATGTTTCTGGGTGTATGTTCGATGGTGTGTTTCGGGTAGGTCAACGGGTATGGTCTTCTGCGGAATATACAGTGCCTACTCAAAAGTCTCCGACCACTCCTTAAATTTTTCGTCGATCGCGCATAACACTATAGTCAACCATCCAAACGCAATAAAATTTTAACCATTATTTGCGCATCTTCTAAGCTATATTCCTACAAAATTTCGTTGCATATTACATAGGCAAACTCGATAAGTCGGACGCTCGATAAGTCGGATTTGGCTTAACTCGGACAAAAATTTTCGGCCCCTT